TTTTTTTTTTTTTACTTGTAACGCCATGATGAGACACTTTTGTCTCACGTGGACACGTCGCATTTATTATACTTACACGCAAGAGGGACGACTGTTTACCCGTTCAGAGATGTTCTGTCGGTCTTTGAACGTCGTCTCTTCGTTCTCCTTGAAGTTTCGTCGAAGAGAACGACGCGCGAATCACGCGCATTTCGGATATTTATTTACGAGCACGAAAACGAGTTGTTGCAATATTCGAGTTGGAAGATACTCGGGTTTGACCACCAATAATCCCCCCCTCCCCACATACACATACACACACACGCATTGTTCATTGTGATCTTGAAAAGAAACAACGATGTGCCTTACCTACGTACGTAGACCTCGTCGAGTTACGTCGATCCTTTCTTCCGCGAGCTTTCCCGATTTTTTTTCGCCGATCCAAAGGATGAAACGGCGAAGGGTAAAAGAGAAACAAGTACCAAGTATGTACGTATGATCGGAGCACACGTAAGAGGGAGTCTCATAGGAGATATCGAGCGAAGGATATATATCTAGTTAGGATCGTAAAAACGAAGAAGAAAATTTTATGTAATGTAATATTGTTGAATAGGAACGTTTCGTTACACTTGCCTTACTCGATCCGACGCGTTTCGAAAGAAAGCGACGATCGCTGGGAACTTTTATTACCGTTGTCCACAATTAACGACAATTAACCGACATTTACCTAGAAGTAGTTGTTAAGTTTTTATCGAGGTTATCGCCTGTATTAAATTAAAAAAAAAAAAAAAATATGCTTCTCGGCTTTCTATAATCCTTTCAGTTACTGTATCCGCTAATGTACCAAGAAATATGTATTATTCGATAACGTGCAATGTGTTTTTCTACCTTTTAAGATCTCAAGCCTTTTTTTATTATTTCATCGAGCGATCGATTCAGAAAACGTACGCTGCACACGATGTAACGATGAAGTATTGCCTGTATGTAGCATATACTGCTAATAGTCGTATTTTATACTTTTAACCGTACATCCGAACGAGATTTGGAACAACTTCTGATGAGCCTCGAGTCGCGATGAAATTTCTAATGTTTCAATATGTTACGCGTACGGCTGTCGAGCGGCTCGTCCGCGTTTCTTCAACTTTCTAACATATCATTCTACTTGAATTAATTCGCGCGAACAGTACTGAAAGGATTGGGGATCGCTTGCCGCGGAATACGTTTCTCGGATTGGCGAGGGACGGATTTATCGGCGACGTGGAATTGTTCTGCCGGATGGTTTCGATTTTTCGGGACAGATTTTTTTCATAGCGGTTAATGTACAGATAAACATACCGAGGGAATTCCACGTGTAATTTCCGCTAACTTCCGGAGAGACTCACCGCGCCACCCGTCTCTCGTCTCTAATTTTCATCTTAATCTTGGATCATTGCCTTTCTCAAGACAAATTGTTT